CATCATTTTTTATAAAAAAATGCTAAAAAAAATTCCTTATAAAATATAAGGAAATGTGATACAGAATTTTAAAAAACATATACAAAACTTATTTATAATAATGAAAAAACGTATGCAAATTTTTTATAAGGTAGGCACAGAGACCAATGATAATTTTTTCATAATAATAATATAAATCTAACTCCTTATCTAATTCCTTAGCTACGTTCACAAATTCCATTTTGTCGCCTTTAGTCAGGTTTAACTTCCTGTTATATAAATCAAAAATCATGTTTGGATGGATCACTACATAACTAAAATGTTCACCTGGCGTTAGAATTCTACTCTCATATTTTTTTCTTATTTGTCCTATAAATCACTGGACACTTTGGTTATTCACATTAGGTTTCCATACGTTAGTCTCTATAAACTACTCAAAATCCCATTGCTTGGAATTGGTTATAGCATCTCTGAGAACGTCTTCAATGATATTATAAAGTGATTAGTCATTGTTAATATCTATAGCTCTCGACATAATCCTATTTCCTATAGTTCTGAAAACTTGGGATTTATCCTGTTTTACAGTATCGATTTCTCTTATAAAAAGCTCTTTTAGTTTGAAGTTTGAGGTATCTTCATGGGGGATGTCAAAATATTTTTTCTTTTTAGTGAACACTACTGGGAATAATACTTCTTCATAAGCTATCTTAAGATAATCTGATCTAATTTTTAGTCTAAGAAAGGTGTTTACTTCATTGCGCAATTTCTCCATTACGATCATAGTAACCTTAACCATTTTGGTTTAGTACTCTAGTTTCGAGATTGTGACTTTCCCGTCATTGTAGGCTAAATCACATTTCTTATAACAAGAATCTGGGCAAGTGGGATATAAGGAATCGGTATTACCATATTTTATCCTAAAACCTTTCTTTTTCACGAATTCTGTAATGAGTTTGATATTTTCTCACCCAGCTGAAGTAACACTTTCAGTGAGTTCAAGTTTGTAGAATGGAGAGTCATTTTAACCTGTGAAACGGACAGAACTGTATTCTTTTCTAAAAGTAGTATATACTACATCAATAAAAGGATCTAAGATTTGGACTATCTCAGTATGCTTCTTCGTATCTTTTGTCGAAGATAGAACATCCTTAATTACGCTCACTATTAGGTTAGATTCACTGACTGAATCCAATCTACCTTTAACTAACTCTATATATTTCTTTTTCTTTTTGAGAAGTTTTAGCTCAGCCTTCATTTTATTTCGCATATTGAGCAAATTTTCTAATATTTTTAGAAATAGTCCTTTCTGATCAGACTTATTTCTATGACGTATAATCTAAGCTCACACAGGGTTGCTGTTATATTTAAACTTAATACTGTGAAGCATTTTATTCTCTCTCTTTAACTCATTTGCTTTCGAAAGTGTTGAGACTATCTTCTTAGATAAGAGATTGTAAGTCATAATTATGCTAAGGTATAAGAAAGCAAAGTCTAAACCTGTGACAGTACGCTTATTTTCAAGATCTTTCTCTGGCGGGAATACATACGCTCCTAAAACTTCTCAGATGCTTTCTGATCAGAAATTTTTGTGGTATATAAAATGTTCTGCACTCACGTTTCGACGCATAAGAGATTAGATACTTTCATTTCTATAGTATAATAATGCGTATTGAATAATGATATATAAGTGATTAAAGCGACTTCTCTATAATCATTTATGATATTCTCTTTCACTATGAGCTCTTGATAATGCAGAGCATCTATAACACAATAATTTATGATTTCGTGCATATTTTTGATAGAATAGTTGGAAGTCCCATCCCTTGCTTCTGAATAATACTTTTATAATTTGCTTATAGGCATATCAGCTTTATCATTGAGACCATACTTTTCTAAGAAGAATTTGAGTGATGTTTTCTCAGAATAGGGGTGGAGTTGCATAAAACTTGCACAAATATCAAACGGCACACATCTGGAAAGTTTAAGAAAAGATGATTTAAAGTTCAAAGTGGGATTAATTTTGATATTGATAGAATCTCAGCCTAATATTTTTTTGGGATCCTTGTCTATTTTCTTTACCCATTGGCTCTTTTGGAAGAAACCATCAGTTAGTGGCTTCTCTCTCCTACTAAAATAATTCCAAGTGAGGACGGATTTAGCATTAGCTTTCTTATATGAGTTTGCCAATATTTGCTAAACCATCTACTTTAGAATATTTAATTTGGTAGCCTTTTCTACAATAAAAGGCCAATCATATCCTGAATCATTAAAACTAAGCTGGATGTTTGGGATAAAAGATTTCCAACATAGAGCAAATGCTTTTAAGAGATTGGCCTAATTTTCGCATATGATTGTGATCTAGCATGGGTCTGGTTTTATTTCTACATTAACTAAACATATTCTCTTTAGAGGAATCAGATCATCTTTCCAGTGTAGGGTCATGCAGATTGTAAAAATTTTAGACGTATTATTTTTTGCTTCTGGGACTTTATTACTTAATCTGCATGAATTGTGTGTTTCTATATCTCATGTTAGAACTAATGCTCGATCGTGAGTAAAGAGAGAAGATGAATAGATTTTGTAAAGTAGTTCGAAATTGTCTATGAGGTAAAAGCTACTAATGTGGACATAAAATGTATGAGCAGTGATGGGATTTCGCATAATATAATACACTGAAATTATATCTATAATCACTTATTAATCCACCTGAAAAGTAGTATCTGATACTCTCTTGCAACTTTACAATAATATGTTTCTGTATCATCTGAAGCTGTATCTATTTTACATTCAGGATCAACTTTTGAATTATAGCTTGAGATAATATCAAGAGCTATAAACCTTTCATCTCTATTGGATGTGATAATATGGAAATATAACTTTTTTCTGTATAGTGACCACAAATAGGATATGCCTTTATACATTCCATCTGAATTAGATTCATGTTCACAGTATTCCCCTTACTGTCTTTCCTAATAGTAAGTATACATTTTACTTTAGACCAGAATTTAGGGATACTTGCATTGTTAGGAACACGAATATCAAAAAATACCTTGATACTAGTAATGGTAACAACTGCTTTTTGGCTGTTAATGAGATATCCATAGAGGTAAAAAATATAATGGGAAATTTGATTAATATGTTTTTTGGATTCTTCTATGTCGACCGGTATGAATGGAATATCTCGATAATTTGCTATCTCATCCTCGAGAATTGAAGTCGAACCCTCATCATTTCTTGCAACTAATTCATCTTGGGTTGGAATGCTCGTCAAGTAATTTTCACTGGAATAACAAAATACCTGACCAACTTTTTTTTTTCAGCCTCTGAGTGAAAAAGGGCGGAAGCATCAAAGAACTCTGAAAGCTCAGGTTCAGTCATAGTAAAAATTTTTAGATATGTTATCTAGTATATCTTGGTTTTGGTATAATACCCTAATAAAAAAGTTTAAAATAAAAATAAATATTATTATAGACATCAAAAAGAATAACTGAGAATAATATCAATGGGAGGTAAATATATTTGTCAGTATTATTCTGATGAAGGGGAGGTTTGTGAAAATAGAAGTACGTGACTAAAAGGGTATAGTATTCACTAGAAAAGACGTCAGCGATCTCAATGCAAACAAGATGGCTGTATAAGACAGACAGCATCTAAACATGGATTTTGTAATCTGCATGTAAATAAGTATCATTCAAAAGAATGTTATCACTGGAAGAAATTAGATAAGATATTTCAGAATGAACAGACACCAAAAGCATTAAAATAGGCTCTCGATAAAATGAAAATCCCTAATGCTATAAGTTATTCCTAATGACTTATCAAAAATTTGACCTTATGAAAAATTTATAGGGATGGCAAAAAACTTAACAAAGACGCTAAAAGTATCTTCTTTAACAATTTTAGAATTCTAGGAAGGCAATTTACTACTTGTTTTTAAGAACCCTATGAGCCTTATGAATTTTCAAACTCTTTACCTTTTTTTATTTTTTTTTTTTATACATACTATACATCGATCATATATCAACCATATTAACCATATATATGATTAATATTTGCCCAAGTAGTATACCATAGAAAAATTTGATTTTTTTCCTAAAACTTTAAAATTTTTTAAGGTTGATAGGGTTGATAAGAACAGATACCGTACTGTTCTGAAATTAAACAACCCCTGAAAATAAGTAACTAACAAATTAATATAGATTTGTAAATAAGCAATCTTTAAATTTCTATAATAAAATATAATAAAAAATAATAATAAAATGTTAAATGTACTTAATAAATTTAATTTTTTATTATTTTCTGTAAAATTTATTTTATTTATTATAAACCATTATATTATTACTGTTTTTATTAAAATCTACATTGATTCATCATCATCAATATTGTTAATATCATTATTATTATTTATATCACTATTGATGTCACTATCATTATAAACACTATCAATATCATTATCAAAATCAATGATATCATCACCAGAATCTTCATTTTCAGTAATATTATCGTCCAATTTATCAATAGTTAAAATTTTACAAGTCTTAAAAGATCCTATAATCATTTCATTTGGGATTCCTTCTCAAGCACGTATTACTCACCTACAAACATCAGATAACTTGGCACGACGAAGGTTTCCTGATATAGTAACTCCTGCACCACTTTCTGCCATCCAAATATGCTATTTTTTATGAAGATTGTCTTTAAATGGCTTATTAATAGTTACATCAAGTGGTTAACATATGCTAGTTAAACCACCTGGAATAATCACTAAATCAATACCAATATCGCAAAACTTAGTTTTAACTGATGTTCTCTAAAAGAATCATACACCATCATTGTTGGAGCATTATTAATTCTTAGATTATCGTTAATAAAATCTACATATTTCTTCATTAAAATAACATCCATCCATCCATTTTGCTGAAATCAAATAATAACATCAGATGGAATCTGTTCATCACGAGATAACCGTTTTCCTTTAAAAATACAAATTAGTGGAAATTTTGTTCCATCTATAATATAAAAAATTAGATAAGTAAAAAAAGCTAAAAAAAACAATTGTCAAACAATTCATATTTACGACACATGTCAAAATAACTGTAAATCGATTTTTCTCATTGCCAGTTATACGAATATGAATTGTTTTTTTACCTATATTATTAATAGTAAAGTTTCCTACTATATCAAATCAAACAGGAGTTTCATTCATATTAAGAATATTGGATAATTCAAATATTTTTTCAGTCTTAAGACGGATGATAAACTGATAAAAGTTTTTTAATAACTCGTTAGTTTGTGATGGAAGCTTTTGTGAAATTTTAGTACGCTAACATCAAGAAAGATTATACCTCTTCATAAATGCAAACATCCAACGGTTTGATATTTTAAATTCATTTGTTGAATCTCCATAAAGATTCATCATAGCAGGTTCTTTTAAAATATTCAGCATCTTAACTCGCGCGATTATATATGAAATACCTAATCCCTACTTTCTCTGCTCAATAATTCAATCATATAATTTTTTCAGCTTCTGGGTAAAAACATTTTTGACCAGAGCCAACTCGTTTACTATTTTGATTTAGTTTATTTACCCATTTTTCTTTTGACTTGATTCAGCGACTAACCATATCTTTATCAAGTTCAAAAGTATTTGCTGCTTTAATTATTCTATTTTCTTTAGCATAAATGACAACTTGTCTCTTTTGCTCAATAGCATATGAATTGTGACGTCATTTAACTATTTTTTTATTAACAGCACTTAAACGATTTTGCTTTTTTTTTTGAGATGGCATTTGTGTAAATTTTTAAACTGGTTTATTAACGAGCTTGTGATTTATCATTATCACTCGTGATTAAATTTAATCGCAATATTATATTATGTTTCACAAGCGATTTTCATGATATTTGACGTTTAAATGTACAGCTTTCTTGCAAATAAACTAGTGTTCCTAATTCATGACTAAACAGGTCAAATTTCTTTTTAAATTCAGTTGAATTTTTATTTTTAAAAGTACCCGAAATTAAACAACCCTATAACAAAAAAAGGTTGTCTAATTTCAGAATGATACAGTAACTATCAGAATCATTTTGATATTATCAGCCTTAAGTATAATTAGTAGAAGTTTTCAAAGGTAACTTAAAGCTTGATGAGATTAAAGAAGATTTTGCATTTATTAAAAGTCTTTTAGCAGAAGTAAAGGCCTTCTCAATACATCAAATTAAGGAATATTTTAAAAATTCAGATGAAAGCTATATACA